AGCTTAAAGCTATCTTCAACTTCGATCGTTAGTCCAAGTAGCTTGTTAATGCATCCAAATCTCGTGATTTTAATGCTTGTTATCGATGTGCATGTAATTGTCCATTTTCTTCGAGCAAATTGGGTGTAATTGTAATTGGAAACGCGATGGTGTGGAATTTCGAAGGAAATATACCTCTTCCGATATGTGGATATTGATCTACAAGTTGATATGGAGGATTGCTGATTGTGTGCGTGTTTGACTACGTGTATAAGAGGTGATATTGAGTGGGGTGATACATAGCGTTGATGTGGAGATTGTGGAAGTATCGAAGATACGATGCGTTGGAATTACAACGCGTCGGAATTATAGAGTGCAGAAGTCACAGTTCGTCGATATCGCCACACCTCAAAATCACAGCGCAACAATATCACAACGTATCAGCATCATAACGCGTTAAAATTACAGTGCCCTGAAATCACAATGCGATGAAATCACAGCGAGATAATATCACAACGCGTCGAAATCACAGCGCGCCAAAATTACAATATGTTGAAATCATAGCGCGCTGAGATCACAACGCGTCGAAATTACAGTGCGCCAATATCATAACGCGTCAGAATTACAGCGCATCGAAATCACAACGCGTCAGAATTACAGCGCGTCAAAATCTCAGCGCACCGAAATCACAACGCGTCAGAATTACACCACGTCAAAATCTCACTGCGTTGAAATCTCAGCGCGTCGAAATCACACCGCGTAAGAATTACAGCGCATCGAAATTACAGCGCTCCAATATCACAACGCGTCAGAATTATGGCGCGTGGAAATCACAACGCGTGAGAACTATAACGCGTCGAAATTACAATGCGTCAGAATTACAGTGCGTCGAAATTTCAGCGCGCCGAAATCACATCGCGTCAGAATTACACCGCGTCAAAATCTCAGTGCGTTGAAATCTCAGCGCGCCGAAATCACACCGCGTCAGAATTACAGCGCGTCGAAATCACAACGTATCAGAATTACAACGCGTCGAAATTACCGCGCGTCGATATTTCATTCTTGATACTACAACTCTTCATACATATAACCCATCACCAACTCAACACATGACAATTTACGAAAGAATTTCGAAATCTCAGCGCGCCGAAATCACAACGCGTCAGAATTACACTGCGTCAAAATTCAGTGCGTTGAAATCTCAGCGCGCCGAAATCATAACGCGTCGAAACTACAGCGCGTCGAAATCACAAGTCGAAATCACAACGCATCAGAACTACAACGCGTCGAAATTACAACGTGTCAGAATTACAGCGCGCCGAAATCACAACGTGTCAGAATTACACTGCGTCAAAATTCAGTGCGTTGAAATCTCAGCGCGCCGAAATCATAACGCGTCGAAACTACAGCGCGTCGAAATCACAACGTATCAGAATTACAACGCGTCGAAATTACCGCGCGTCGATATTTCATTCTTGATACTACAACTCTTCATACATATAACCCATCACCAACTCAACACATGACAATTTACGAAAGAATTTTTAGTCAGCACTCAACGATGAATTTTCAATCGCATTCGTCAATCAGTGCGTATGAAAGTTCACACAAAGTGTATCTCCTTCAAGTGGCACCGCGATATGGCAATATACCGAGAGTCTACATATACGATATACTAAACCTTGATTCCATACTAAAAATTTGTAAACAGTCGTTTATCAAAGTTCATGTGTATCATATTATATGTAGATTGAAAAAAAGAAGAAAGAAAGTAAAGAATGTATTTTGTATCTGTTTCAATTCGTTTTTTAAAAATGTAACAAGTGATACGAATTGTATTGCCATGTACGCTCTCAAAAATTGACCTCTGATTAAGAATATTCAAGCTCGATATCACGAATGTCGATATAGCATCATTTGGAGTACAACCGAAATTCTACTGAGAATCGTCCGATCACGATTATTGCTACGATTATTGGGAAGTTTATTCGTATCAGTCAATATGTAACAGTCAACACATTCTCTCGTCAAAATTGAGCAAACACGTCAATGATTGTGTTAATTACCTGGCGATATCGCAGCGGAAAGTTCCAGTTATTATTAGTTATTATTATCCAGTTCGCCATGATGGCGAACTATAATTAATAAACAGGAAATGTTATTCGTAATAGCTACATTCGAATTTTACGTTCGAATGTTAGATCGTATGGAAATTTTCTTGCAAAGGAATTTGAAGCAAATAAGGATTCTGTTTTTCACAATTATCAAATTGTTGTTACGAGAATCGCAGCAAATATTCATGGAGAACTTTCGTCCTTATTTTCTCCGCAAAAGTTCAGTATGTCGACGGTAGCCAATCAACGAGACCCTATTTACCGAACTTCCTTGATGTTGACTGGAAACACGACGGCGAAGAAGTGGAAACTTTTTTATCGCATTATCTCGCAAGAAAGAGCCGAATTACCTCTGACAATGAGCGAAGTGAGAAGCTCGGTTGCCGCGGCAACATTTCTTAATCATATTTCAATTAAGGAGACCTAAGGTACGACGTTGGTGTACAGAATCCGGCAACGCGAGCTTTAAAGATGAAACTCTCGAGCAAAACAGAAAGAGAGACAGCAAAACCGGCGACCAATTTGTTAATTGCACCCATTAAGATATCGAATTAACCCTCGAACGTCGATATAAATTATACTGCTTCATTTTTATAGTTTCAATTTTAAATTACTTCCTAGATGGAAACAGTGGAAAATGTAACTTTCAAATTCAGGTACCATTTATTTTCTCTAGTAATTTTAAATCAACAGTAGAATTTCAATTTCATTTTACGCACCACTTTATTTTCGGTATTCTTTACATTCTTTTATAATTTCACGTTGGACGGCAAAAAATTTCATTTGATTTTAAGTTTTCTAATTTTGAAAGGAGCTGGCGGGAAACTGTGGAAATTTAAATATTAATTTATTCACATTTTGTGTAGTTCGGGCTTTGTACGATTTCTACTGAATTTCAACTTTTAACGTTTCCTTATTTGGAAATAATTTTAACATTAAAATTGTTTGAACTGTAAATTTAAAAATTGACGGGGAAATGTTTTGACTTTAATTTCGAACGCTATTTCGATAATTCGAGAGTTACTCATAGTGAAACTATCAGTTTATTCATTGATGAGAATTTATCTTTTTCTTAAAATTCTAAATACTCAAACTTCTAATATTTCAATTCCCTAAATTCCACATTCCCCAATTCCAAATTTTCCTAATTCCCACAATCCCCAATTTCAACTTTCCCCAATTCCCACATTCCCTAATTCCAGCATTCCCCAATTCCAAATTTTCCTAATTCCCACAATTCCCAATTCCAACTTTCCCCAATTCCCACATTCCCCAGTTCCAGCATTCCCCAATTCCCACATTCCCCAATTCCCACATTCCCCAATTTCC